GTTATAGATCATAGTGACCCTGTATAGGGTTTCCGAGGAGGGGCTGGTGAGTTTGAACCACTGACCTCGTGGGTCACTGTGGGTTGGAACCAACTCGACGGCGCCTAAACAACAGCATGTACATAAGTAGATAGATTGGTAAGAAGACAGATGACACAGTTTGAGAGAACCCATTTTCTATCCTCTTTCCCTACTTTTTTTTCCTTGTATTTTTTGGTAGCGTAGTGGTTACGAATCGGGCTGTGAACCTTAAGGTCAGCGGTTCGAAACTACGAGCTGCACCACGGGAAAAAGATGAGGCTTTCTACTCCTGTAAAGATTTACACCCTCGGAAACCCTATACAGGGTCGCTATGGGTCGGAAACGACTAGATGGCACATAACAACAACAACAACAACAATGTACTATAGCTTTCATTTATTTTATTTGCTTTCTTTTCTCACTAAAATGTAAATCCCATAGTAACCGTACATAATTATATGTAATCACAATATTCTTCAAACTGCAATTATTTATTCAGTATTCGATTATCCACTTCATTTCAGACACTGGAGATGGAGTGGTAAGCAAAGGGACCAGATCCCCTCCTTAAGTTAGTCAGTGACAAGACTCTATCTACTGTGTGCTGTGTTGTAGGTCCTGGGGACAGAATAAACGAGAGCTCCATATGATAAACAATGGGCTGTGGACCACAAGGTCAGCAATTCAGGCCCACTAGCAACTCCAAGGGAGAATGATGACATTTTCTGCTTCTGCAAACATTTTAAGTCTCAGAAACCCTGTACAGGCTGGCTATGAGTCGGAATCAACTCAATGGCACTTAACGGCAACAACATAGTCTAACAAGGAAATCAGAGATTAAGAAAGAAGTGAATTAAAATGTTGAGTAGGAATTTTTGTCGGAATTAAAAGATGAGGGGAACAGAACTAAGGATGGAATGAAACCCATGTCTTGAAAGCCTGGTGGTGAATTAACATTCAACATAGATACTTTTTAGAAACATGTAATTTATTTAGTCAGAAACTGGTGAGCTTGAACCACTGACTTTGCAGTTAAAACCAATTTATCTGTTCAGTGCATTTACCCACAGCACCACACCAGGACTCCAAAAGGATATATAGAAAGTGCTTAATTGATGCTTACCTTGTTTTTGAAATACAAGATTTTCAAAGAGAGTTTACTGTGCTAAATAAGTACATCTCTGATGGAAATTCTTTTAAAAAGCAGATTTGTTGAAGAGGACCATATTCCTTACATAAACACTTTTCAGCATTTTCCAGAACAGATGAAATTATATGGGCGTGACAAAGGAATCTTTACCATAGAGGTAAATTATTTTCTTTCTTTCTTTGTAGTCACCTACAATGTAGACACAAATGTAGTATGCTGAATCATTATTTGTATTCCTTGCTGTTGGTTGCGTGAGTTTTTTAAAACGTCATCTACTTTTTGTTTTATCCAAATATGGAACATTAATCATAATTCATTGAAAAGTAGAATCCATGTTTTTTATTTTCCTTTCATGCTTTCTTCTGATCCTTTGGGTTATCCCTAAATTACAGCTCTAGGGTGATATGTGTGTGTTGCACATAGGTATATTGTTGAGATTAAACTATAGAAGTTTTGTAAAGACATCTTTAGGTAATTTTGATTTTTTAATTTTTGTAGTTGTTTTTTGCCTACTATGTTATTTTGAAGCAAAGAGAAGAGAGTTATCAACTTGTTTTAAAAATCCTTCATTCCTTAAAAAATGGTGTGAGGTAGCATCTGGCCTCTTCTTGACTTCACAAGGGGGAAGATGAATAAAACTCAACATCAGCTGAAGGCCTGTTTCTATGGGTGGAGGTTAGACAAGCCTCCACTCTTTCAACTTTCTTTACCTTTGCTGACACCAACCATTCCTCCCACGGCAGCTCTGTACTTCTCTGTTGGGTTAGATAATTTGTTTCAATGGCCACACAAAACTCTACAGACCAAACTCACAATTATGAGATTTATTAGGGAAGTTGCAAGTAGCAGGTTACAATTCTGCAATTCATAATCAGAAAAGCTCAGGATACAGTCCTTTAATCAGGGCAGCCTCTTCTCAGCTGTGCTTTCAGGTACGCCCAGGTCCTCGACTTTGGCCTGCTTGGACAAGTGCTACCAAGCTCTTTTAGCTCCATTTCAGCCCCATTGCCCCTTGGTCTCTGTGCCAAATGCTTATTTTGCCAGTAAGTCTATGCCTAGCTATAGCTCTGTAGGCTAGGAAGCCCACTGCTCTGCCTTGAGCTCTTGGTCTTGCTGCCTCTGCCACATTTCTGCTGTCACAGTGCTCTGTCTCATAGATGAGGAGATTCAGAACACGGATTTCTGGGTCCAAAGGATGAGCTCCATTCCTGTTTCATCTTTCTTGATGATAGTGAGATGCTCCCTTTCTGATTCTGAGATGGCTCATTTTAAACCTAGTCCTAGTTCTGAGATGGCAAAACTGACCAATCTCTGTGTTAGAGTCCTGGTATGGTTCTGTGGGCTAATGCGTCAGATAGCAGTCATTTGACCTGCAAGGTCAGTGGTTCAAGATCACCAGTAGCTCCTTGGAAACCCTATACAGGGTCGCTATGGGTCAGAATCGACATGACAGCACTTAACAATAACATGTACCTTATTTATATTATTTGCAAGCTAGCCAATCTCCTTGATAAGTCACAACACCTCACCTGGTGTGGTGCTATAGGATAAGCACTGAACCTCAAGATCAGTTTAAACCGCAAGGTCAGCAGTTCAAACTCACCAACCGCTCCTCAGAAACCCTATACAGGGTTGCTATAAGTTGGAACCAGCTTGACGGCACTTAACAACAACCCAATCATTGGAGTTCTGGTGTGGCATTACAGGATAATGCACTGGACCAAAGGTCGATTTGAACTACAAGGTCAGCAGTTCAAACCCACCAGCTGCACCTTAAAAATTCTAGACAGAGTTGCTGTGAGTTGGAACCGACTCAGCAGCACTTAGCAACAACAACCCAATCAATCATTGGAGTCCCGGTATGGCGCTATAGGAAAAGCACTGGACTGCTAACCTGCAAAGTTGGCTGTTCAAACCCACCAGCCTTGCCTCAGAAACACTATACAGGGTCACTATGAATCGGAACTTACTCAATGGCACTTAACAACAACAACAACCCAGTCATTTGGAAGGAATTACTAAGACAAGGGCTAAAAATGCCATGTCAGGTAATTCACTACACTATAATGTCTATTAATCTTTTTCTAGATCTAATTTTAGATGTCTCCAATGGAAAGGTTACTTTCTTTTAAAACAAGTCTGCCCTGGTGGCACATTCATAAAGTATTTGGCTGCCAACTGGATAGTCAGCAGTTCAAACCTACAGTTTGCTCACAGGATAAAGATGTCATAGTCTGTTTACACAATGATTTGCAGCCTTGGAAACAGTACAGAGCAGTTCTACCTTACCTTATAAGGTCACTATGAATCTAATTTGACTTGGCAGCAACCAGTTAACACTATTTACAATACTTATAAAAAATTGTAATTTTTTTTCATTTTGTTCTTTTCATCAGAAGGTTTTCAGTATGCTAAATATTAATATTAACTATTATCCTAAGTAAATTGATTCAATTAAGAAATTATTTTGCTAGATCTTTACAACTTTTACACTTTTGTGGTTTAAGTCAAATATTTGAGTGTTCATGACATTGTAACAACTTAATAAGGGTAGCTGTACTTTACAGGTGATAAAACTGAGGCTCAAGAAGGTTGTAACTTGCCCATGGTCATGTTGTTGGCAAATCCTGAAACCTAGATTTGGACCAAAGTAGCTGTCATTTAAAAATTCATATTATTTCTTCTATGCCATGATGTGTTTTTCTTCTCTGATAAAAATTACAACCAGAAAAGGTAGAACTTCCAAAGATTGAGGAATAAAGAGGTTGTCAAAAACAATTTTAAACTTATACAAAGTGTTGTTGTTGTTGTTAAGTGCCATTGAGTCAGTTCTGACTCACAGCAACCCTTTATAGGGTTTCTGATGAGCTGCTGGTGGACTTGAACCTCCAAACTTGCAGTTAAAATGACATTGCAGCTTATCCTACAGCGCCACATTGTTAGTTGCCGTTAAGTGCTGTTGAGTTGGTTTCAATTCATAGCAACACTGTACAGTGTTTCCAAGGAGCAACTGGTGGGTTTGAACTGCTGACCTTGTGGTTTGCAGTCCAATGCTGATCCTACAGCGTCACACCAGGAGTCCACAGTGCCACATTGTTGTTGTTGTTGTTAAGTGCTGTTGAGTCGGTTACGACCCATAACGACCCTGTATAGGGCTTCTGAGGAGCAGCTGGTGAGCTTCAACCATTTTTTACCATATGATCAAGAATCAATAGTACTGAAGGAAGAAGTCCAAGCTGCACTGAAGGCATTGGCAAAAAATAAGCCTCTAGAAATTGACAGAATAAAAATTTAAATATTTCAACAAACTAGAAACACTTGTCTCTGTCAAAAAAATTTTAAAATCTGGCCAACTAATTGGAAGAGTCCCATATTTATACCCAGTTCAAAGAAAGGTGACCCAGTGGAATACAAAAATCATCGAACAATACAATATCACATACAAATAAGTTTTTTTGTTTTTTGATTTTTTTGCAAGTAAGTTTTTTTGCTGATGATCACTCAGAAGCAGTTGCACCGTCAGGGAGCTTCCAGAAAAATCAAGCAGAATTCAGGAACTAGGAATATTATAGCTAACATCAGATGGATCTTGACTGAAATCAAGAATACCAAAAAGATGCTTACTTGTGCTTTAATAACTATGTAATGTCATTCAACTGTGTGGATCATAATAAACTGTGGATACTGTTGCAAAGAATGGGTATTCCAGAACACTTAATTGTGCTCATTCGAAACTTGTATATACAACAAGAGGCCATTGTTGAAACAAAGCAAGGGGATACTGAATGGTTGAAAATCAGGAAAGGTGTGTGTATCAGGATTGTGTCATTTTACCATTCTGCATGTTGAGCAAATAATCCAAGAAACTGAATTATATTATATGAAGAACATGACATCAGGATTGGAGGAAGACTCATGAACAACCTATAATATGCAGATGAAACAACCTTGCTTATATACAAAAATGATCACAACTGGACCAATAATAATATCATGAAAAGAATATCAATAATAAGGGTGACATAATAGGTACTTCAAAAAGCAGAATTTGTATGTGCCCTAGCAAAATTGATAAAGCTCTTGAATATTTTTATAAAGTAATCTTTTTAATTATGCTGACAAAATCTAAGGCAATTGGAAGGGTGCCATGTTGTGTTATATAATTTTGATAGCAAAATTATACCAACAAGAAAATCAATGATTAATTCTTTCCTTGTTTTGAAAACATAGTGGATAGGTATTATAACAAATTTTGTTCAATATGAGATAAAATAGATTTATTTGTATACTTTCTAATTATGTTTCTTAAACTAAAACGCAATCAAATCCCCCTTCACTAATTACCAATAAAATTTGGTCTCTGTTTTTAATTAGTTATCTCTAGGAAATTCCTACTGTTTCATAGTTTTACAAATGGTAGGAGCTCTGGTAGCGTAGTGGTTACGAATCGGGCTGCGAACCTTAAGGTCAGCGGTTCGAAACTACCAGCCGCTCCGCGGGAGAAAGATGAGGCTTTCTACTCCCGTAAGGATTTACACCCTCGGAAACCCTGTACAGGGTCGCTATGGGTCGGAACCGACTCGACGGCACTTAACAACAACAACAACCAGAAATATTCCATTTAAGATCACTTACTAAATTATTTCAAGATTTGAAATTTTAGCACCTACTTTTATTTTTCAAGAATTTAAAATTATGCTTTGACCTGCCTTGATCCTAATAATACAAACTATGTATTTTTTGCTAATAAAATACATTGTATATGAGTTGTACTTTTGCATATGAAGTGAATACAATGTCCAAATATGCATGTGTCTTTTATAGAGCAGTTTCTTTCCTGAAATAATGAATGTAAAGAGTAGAATCATGTGCTTCCATTGACATTCATTATGGAGTTAGAGACCTCATAATGTGGTAAAAACTACAGTCAGAAATGGGAGTTTCCACTTTTAAATTAAGGATCACTGCTTGGGCAGTGATTAAATGCTTGGCTGCTAACCTTAAGGTTGGTGGTTTGAACCCTGGAGAAAAATGTGGCAGTTGGATTCCATAAAAATTACAGCCTCAGAATCCCTATGAGGCAGTTCTATTTTGTCCTATAGGATTGCTATAACTCAAAAATTACATGTTTGTAATAAAACATCCACAACTCATCTG